CTAACTCCCTACGACTCCCCCAGGGGGCGGCACATGGCAGTCTCTTCAAGGACTATTTTTCATTAGTTTGATGGGTACCTGATGCTATTCTTCTTGCAGGCAAGACTTGTCTGGATCACCTTTGATTTTGCAAAAGTACCTTGCAAGGGTACTGCCCTACTGAAGATGCTTGGTAAATATTTGTTAAATTAAAGGGCCAAGAAAAGGAACACCGCTCATCATGTCCTTCCTTCAAAACTCACGCAATCTACTCAAGAAAACACCCCTCACTCCAATCAGGCTCCAAATGTTATCTACACTAGCAAACACTTTGTTCCCCCTCCCCATCCCGAGGAAAGGTATAAATCAGGAAACGGTGAGTGTTCCTGAACCTGCTGTGATGAGGAAGCTGGACAACTTGTTCACATAACCCGCTGGTCTCATCTTGCAGCAGCCCTGCTATTTCAAGAGCTGGATTGGTTTAACCAGGTGCATCCATTATCAAATACAAGCACGAAGCCACATTCTAAAGCACACAGCATTGCTTCTTTACTGGCTTGACCACTGCTGGCCAGGGGAATGAGTGAGCAAGAGCTAGCTGTAGATGAGCTTGTGCTTATGGCTTCACGCCAGGGTTCAGGCCCTGCATCTCTGGGACCCTCTTTGGTGTGCAGGCTTTTCTCACCATCAGACCCCCAAAGAAAGGAGTCGTGCTTATTTCCTGTTCTGTCTCTTTGCTGTCAGAGTATGAAGTTTCATACATAGGGGCTTCCCGCACAGGAGGACTGGTGTGCTGGTCTAGGTGGGCACTGCAAAGAGTCAGGAGGCCCTAGTGCAAATGGCAGAGCTTCTATCTGCCCCTGGCTCGACACTGGATATGACCATCCCAGACCTGAACCGGTCCCAGGTGTGATACAGGCATCTCTACCCCCATATTTTGAGCCAACCATCTCCTGTTCCAAGGTGCCCAGTGTCTGCCTATGGAATCTTACTTTGTCCCTTCTTCCTGTCTCAGAGATTGAAGATCATAGGGAACTCCAGAGAGCAGAAGAGAGAAAGGAGGTGCCAGGTGTTCTGATGTTCTCTGTGACTGCTCACTGCCATATTTTACAAAAGCTTGGATCTGCCCCTTCTTGGGTAACCTAAGTGCTGCATGTGGTCTAGAATCCAATGTAGACAGGAGGTAGGTCCATCCTTCTAGGGACACATTTCCTGTGTCCATCCCCGTGAGATACTCTGTTTACCCCATGCAGCTGAGGTGTCCTGGGGGGCCCTCCTCCTCCCCAAGAGGAGTTTCGAGAGGTGGACATCCCAGCACAGGGCACCTGCCCTCTGTCCCACCCTGCTTGTCCATTCACCCTTCTCCCATTGGCAATGCCCTCCCCCTCCGCACTGACCACCAGCTCTGCGAAGCGGATGTTAAGCTCTTCTGAGTTCGGGATGGGGCTGGAGAACTCCATGTACTGCAGAGGGTGGTTGTCCCGGAGGTTGATCTCGGGGAGGTCACTGCCCCCGAAGCAGCACAGGAAGCCCAGGCCATGGCGGCTCCTCTTGCGGGGGGCCATAGTCACTGCGGGCTGGGGGCTCAGCAGGCAGATGCCCTAGGTCCTCATGATGATCTGGGCAGGAGAACAGACAGCACAGGGTGGTCAGTCATGGCAGTCAGATGGATGAGGGCAGAGGTCACTCTCCTTCATAACCTCTTTGTCCCACAGACTGTCAGGAGCCCTTGACCCTATAGCCAAGGACTCCTCCCTCCTCCCATAGCCTCCCTCTAGCTCCTTCCACTGGAGGCATTTACACATCCTCCCCACCACACCCTCCAAGTGTTTCCTGCCAGAACACTTTCCCATTCCCCCTCGGTGACCCCTGAGAAGAGAGGAAGGCTGTAGTCACAGAATGGGACTTCCAGGTGGTCCTGGACCCTCCCCGCGTGTGCAGATGGGAGCCGATTCCCTGTCCTCTGGAAGGTCAGTCTCCAGCAAGACCCACTTACTCACTGGGTTCATCCCAGGGTCTGGGATGACTGATTTCAAGGCATCATCCCATGGGAAGGGAGAGTTGAAGAGAGTAGGCAGAGGAGATACCGAGATAACTGTATGGCAGAGCTCCTGGAGCAGGGGCCAACAGAGGAGTAGAGGACAGAAGGCTGCAAAGACCTGCACAGTCTTTTGCTCAGTCTGTCCTACCCAGGCATGTTTGGATGAAGGTAAAATATCAACAAGGCAGTGGTTCACCCATCCATCTAGAAGAAGAAGGTCAATTTCCCTCAGGGAGGTCACCTGGGGAAGTCATTAGAGAGAATCCTAGGTAAGGAAATCAGGCTTGGGATATGTTCAACACACTGAAAGAAATCTGCTCAGATCTGCTTTTCGTACCAACTAAGAACAGAGAACACTGCCCTGGCCAGAGAGCAGAAGTGATGGACATCCAACAGTTGGGTGGCCGTTGGAACAGAAGGGGTTAAGTCCTTGGCTTGCCACTAGGACAGCCTGGTTCAATGATGACTAGCTCAAGGAGGAACGCGGGCCCCAGTCATTGATGCCACATAGCCTCTAGGACGATTAAGTCCAAGGCTCAGCACACAGGCCTCCTGAGGGGCAGAACCACCCTCAGCCACGACCACTGGTTCCTGCACATGCTCTCAGACAACCTGGTGGGTTCAGCAGAGAGACCACGGCTCACACACCAAACTGCTGCCAGCCAGATCCTCCCCATTCCATACTTAATGAATTTTAATTTTTTACACATAAGTATAAGATTCTGTTTTTATCCCTATCAAATATTATTGGGGGTTTTTGGGGGGGGTCAAGATATTTTTGAGTCTTGATTCTTAATTGTTTCTCCTGGATTCAGATCACTAACAGATTGGAAACGTCTCCATGGTCGTCACCCACATCACTGCTGAGAATATTGACTATGACAAGGACATAGACCCTAATGACACAACAGCCTCATCTAGGAATGCCAGAGAACTATTCCTCAATACTCTCAGGGGACAGTCCTTCAACCAGCTCTACATCCATGTAACTACGCTCTCATCCGGCCCTCTTTTCTATAAAGACAATAGGAGAGATTTTTCCCAAAGCCCTGTGGAACTCAAGATATGCTAAGTCTCAGGCATTCCTTTGAACCAAGCTCTAGAATCTTATCAAGAAAGAAGACAAGATAAACGTGGCATAACTTGTTCTTAGTGAACTCAGGGTAACTTCTAGGGAACATTGCTTTATTTCCTAAGTCCTAACAGTCTAGCCTCTTCTATGTCATGAACCATTTTCATTGTTGTTCTAGAACAAAAATTTACTGGCTCCATTTTATCTTTCTTTATAAACTTTGAGACAGACTTTTTAATAGACCCGAGAGAGCCTCCAATAACACAGCACCGAAGGTTGCCTTGCATGTTGGTTATCGTTTCTGTTTCCGTGTTGGCTTTCGCAAACACAGTGGAGGCTCCCTGAGGGCAGGGGCCGTGTCTCCCGCTTCTTTGATAGCCCCTCCATTTCTATAGCCAATAAAAGCCTTGCACTTAGCGGGTACTCAATAAGAATTTCTTGGTCAATTGGGAAATGACCTATGCTCACGGAAAAGGAGAAAAGAGGGTCCTTGTTAAGCTGATAAGAAATATGGATTGAAATCTCTGATTGCTAGCAGTTGATAAGTAATCAGGAACCTTTGCAAGGAACACGAGGACATCTGGAAGGCTGGGGACAGGAGAGGCATCAGGCAGGCTAATGCGACAGTGCTGGCACGTGGTGGCAAAGACCTGGGATAGGCTGGCAGTTGAGTAAAACAGAGAGGAAGGGGGACTTCAGGGTTCCCATGGGACTTGATAGCCAGTAGCCATGAGTGGGTGAGGCAAAGCCCTGGCCTCTGTCTGTCAGGCTTAGTAAAGCACCAATTCTTTAGGCAAATGGGGTGAACCACCCTGGGGGTCTCTGCCCAGCCTTGAGTGTGGGATGATCACACAGAATGCAGACCAGATCCCCTTTGTTTCATTAGCCTCCAAAAGGCAGCTTCAGCTGGTGAGCAGGGCAGCTGTGTTCAGGGCACAGAACATGGGAAGGAAGCTCCCCGGGGCTGTGGGGAGGCTGGGCTCAGGGCAGATGGGGATGGGGGAGGGACGGGCTGCTGTCTGGCAGGACCTCTGAACACCTCTTCCTGCCTCACCTCCTCAGCTTCTCGCTCCCCTAGTCTCCCTCTCCCCCTTCTTTGTGCTTCAGCTCCTGAACCGGCCTTTCCTGGGGGAGTCAGGGGCAGGGACAGGGCTGGCACACACCTGGCACTCTGTGGCACAGTCATGCACCAGCTGTTTACAGCCGTGACTGCGCTCACTGGCTGGTGCCTCTGCCCTACCTGTTGTTGATATTTTAACATCTCCCCGGAGAACAGGGAGTGAGGTGCAGCGGCCCTCGGGAGGAGGGAAGTGTACACAGACCCTCCAAACAGGAAGTGCCGTCCCCTAAGAGAAGGGCCTTGCGCACTCCACCCGGGACTGCTGCATATTTGCCCTTTTAAGGGGCTGCCTGTTTGACAGCTCTGGCGCATGTTTATGTTCCTGAGGACAACCCTCCCCCGCTGGCCTTCTTAGGGCTTGTCCTGCCTCCCTTCATAAGGCACCGTCTGAACACCCAAGATTAAGCCCGCAGGCTCTCAGCTGGAAGGAGCCTCAAACATCATGTCGCTTCACGGTACAAATCAGATTCAGATCCAAAGAGGAAATATCTCATCTGAGGTCACATAGCTGGGGACGGAGCTGGGATTAAAACCCAGGACTCCAGTAACCAGGCTGCAGTCTGGTCACTGTCCCCCGGAGCTTCCTCCCACACCAATGGGCCTTTTCCCCACCTTGCTTCAAGCCCAGTAACCTCCCTCTAGAGCTAACACAGCTCTACGGCTTAGTTTAGAAATGCCTCTCGGCCGGGAGTGGTGGCTCACGCCTGTAATCCTAGCACTCTGGGAGGCCGAGGTGGGTGGATTGTTTCAGCTCAGGAGTTCGAAACCAGCCTGAGCAAGAACGAGACCCCGTCTCTACTAAAAATAGAAAGAAATTAATTGGACAACTAAAAATATATAGAAAAAATTAGCCGGGCATGGCGGCGCATGCCTGTAGTCCCAGCTACTCGGGAGGCTGAGGCAGGAGGATCGCTTGAGCCCAGGAGTTTGAGGTTGCTATGAGCTAGGCTGACGCCACGGCACTCTAGCCTGGGCAAACGAGTGAGACTCTGTCTCAAAAAAAAAAAGAAAAAGAGAAATGCCTCTCATCACAACGGTCCTCTGAGACCAGGAGAGGCCTATGGAGCCCCCAAATGCCACCTGCTTCTCCCCATCAGCAGCTGCTGCTTCCGTCTTGCGACCCCTAACTTCTGGCCCACCCCTGCTCTGACGCCTCCTTCGCTCCCACTTCCCAGTGGCAGAGGGCGGAGCAGCGGCTTCAAAGTTGGACAGACTGGGGTTTGCCTCCCCAGCTGGTGCCCCTGAGCGTGTCTCTTAACTGCCCAGAGCCCCAGGTTCCTCGTCTGTGTCACCATGATCGTCACAGCACCTTGCTCACGGGGTTTCGGTGAGGAGTGAATGAAGCAGTGGAAGCTACAGGCCTACGGCACAGCGACACTCACTAGACAATGCTCAGCGCTGCCGCGAGGCCCTCTTTTCCACCCCACCAGGGGGCCCTGCCAGAGCCACCAGCAGCCCCTCTCCAGACACCGATGGGGCTGTGAGCCCTGCCGTCATAGGAATTTGCCCAGCCAGGTTTAAGAAGTCACCAGCCTTGCCTTGGAAAACTGGGAAATCTAGGCCGGAGGAGCTGGGCCTTCCCTGGGCTCTGAGCTCCCTCCTGTTAGAAAGTAAACAGCTCCTCACCACTGACCCTGGACAGGGAAGGGACAGGGGAGGGGGGCAGGGCAATCTGTTTCTGCAAAAGCCCTTTAGAAAGAGGAACAAGGAGGTTTCTACTGCAGAGGAGGACTGAAACGCAGTGAGGGGGATGGGAGCCTAAGGCAGAAGGAGACCCAGTGGACCTGAACTCGGGCCAGAGGGATCTAACCTGCCCCTCTTGCCCGTAGGAATTTCCCCACACCAGCAGCTCCCTGCCCTCCACATCCTGTCTCCCTGCTCCCTCCCTTCTTCCTGCAGGGACAAGGTCATCTCAGGTCAGGTTGGTCAGTCCCTAAACACAGACCAACTGGCCACCAAACCATCAGGTCGAAGCCCATCAACCAACACCTGCTGTGAGGGCTGGAAGGTGCCTCCGAGGGTCCCCAGTCCTCTGGCCCCGATCAGATGTCACCCCCTCGCTGTCACAGTCCCCCCACATTGTAGGGAAAGCATACTGCCTTGACTCCAGAGACTGGGGCTGGTCCCAGCTCTGTCACTAGCCGGCTGGTGGGTGGGAGCCACAGTGTTAGCCCCCCTGGGGCTCAGTTTCCCCTCTGCGCAATGGCAGGGTTTGACTAAAAACCTCCAGGGCCTTTGCCAACCCTTACCCTTCACACTGCCTGGCTCCATCCCAGTCCCAGAGGTTTCCCAGGGGGTGTCCCCGGCCTGTACTGAGCACTCCCCCAACCTTCCACCCCGAGCCGGGAAGGACTTCCAATCACTTGATTTCATCTCTTCCATTTGG